AAGGGCAAGAAGGCAACATGAGTGAAGAGAAAAGGGGATCTCAAGTTTGTGAACTACTGACAAGAGTTGACTTTGCAGGGGAACTGCAAGAGAAAGGAAACTGCAGCAAGGAGCAGAAGGTGGTGGCATTTCCTTGATGGATTTCTACTTAAGGAGCCAACTTTACAATCTGTGAGCCTTTCATTAGGGATGTGGGGAGAGAGGGAGCTTATGGTAATGGAAAATGGAAGCTAATGGGAAAAATGAGGAGAGCTAAGCTATATGCTACATGTTTTAATTTTCAAATTAAGCATTTGAGACAGACAATAACATTATCTATTTAAAGAATGAAGACACTGAGGCTTAAGGTCTCAAAGACAAAGTCAGTGGCAGAGCTCAAATTCAAAGTCCATAATCTTTGCCAACATGCAAGTACCTACTACTACTATGGCCCTAGCGATGACAGATGGATAGCCAAGTTATTGTGCAAGGAAGTTGAGGAAAGGGCAAGCCTGGGTAAAGGAGGCATGCTTACTAAAATGAAACAAACTAAATTTTTTTGAACGTTATCATCATATCTCCTGAATCATCTTTGCTCACACCTTGATTGACTGGAGTTTTACTCTTCCCTTTCTGGTCTAACCTTGAGATGCTTTCTTGGTATCTACCCAAAGGGAAAAGGAGAAGAAAAAATGGTTTGGAACACCCTGGCCAAGCCACTTAAAATTTCGGCCTGTCTTTATGCATAAAATACATATTAAAACTCTCAATGAAAGAATATAGTGAATTAATATAGTTAATATAAAGGTCTTGGGAAAAATACCTACTTGCTTAACCTCTCTGATAAAGCCACCAGAAAGAAATTAGCAACTTAATTTGTATCAAGGTGACCGAGCTAAAACAATTCCGTATGATGTTTATGCATTGACCTCACAGAACTCCTTTTCTAATGTTAATTTAGAAAGCTAAAGGAAGGATCATTTCATGCTTAATGAGACTGATGCAACGTGAGGGTGATGATGTAACCTGGCAGAATGGAGCAACGACTGGCCTGGTGATTGGAACAGGAGTTCCAGTTCTAGTCCTGCTGTCAGTTAATCAGTGTATGACTTAGAACAAGTAATCTTACCTCTCTGGGCTTCAGCTTTAACAAATGCAAAAATAAATGGAATTAAACCAAGTTACCTCTGATAGTTACATTACAGGTAATGAGACTTCCAAATTGGCTGTGAAAGTGATCCAGACATTTCTGGGCATATCTGGCCATCTGTTTGGGGAAGTCATGAGAAGCTTGTTTGCCCTGGAGGCTGAAAAGATTCCTGGAAATAACTTGATATAGCTAGGATCCAGAGAGTAAGGGGGTATCCAGTAGGGCCTACTGTGCAAATGGCATTTGAGCTAAAACCTAAATGAGGAGAAGGAACGATCCTTGGGAAGGAGGATCTGGGCTGGGCTAAGTTTAGGCCAGACAGAAGGAGCAGCAAATACAAAGATCCTGGGCCAGGAATGAGAGACAAAGCAAGGATGCCTGAATCAGACTACAGGTGGAAAAGGAGTTTGATGTGGGAGAAGTAGGGAGAAGCCAGATGGAAGGCAAAGCAACTTTTAGGCCACACACACAAAAGTCATTGAAAACAAAAAAGCTCCTAAACAAAAAGGTTAATGGAAGCCAACATAAGCAATAAGGCAAAATATCTTTAATTTCCAAGCAAACTAATGAAGTAATGGAGTTGATTATCAAAAAGAAGGCATATCATTACTTTCAGCGTATGTTAGTATCCAGTACAATGTTGAGCTGTGAGGTGACATGAATGCCATGTTCTCAGGCATTGTCGCATCCATTTCTTATCACATAGGGGACAGTGGACTATATTTTCAAACCTGATTCTAATAGAAGCCAGTGGATGTCATAGAATGGCACTGGACCCAGAGCCAGAAGGCCAGAGCTGAAGTTCAAATTGCTTATCTGTTCTATAAGTATGTGAGAGACCTTGAGGGTTCCACTTGGCCTTGTTGACATTGTTTCCTTATCTTTTAAGTTTAAAGTAATTGCTACCACATAGGGCAATTATGAAAATTAAACAAGATAATCTACTTGAAAATACTTTGGAAATTGTGAATCATCACTCAAATATTTCTTACTGCTCTTACATTTCCTTTTAACATTTCTTGTTAAAATTTCCTGCCACTGCTGTTCTCAAGGGAAACCACTAGAGGTCAGAATTGTACATGAATAGTTTCAAGAACCGCCACAGGTGGGAAAGAGAACATTTTCTACTAAACAGCATAAAATAATAAATTTAAGGCATAGAGAGAAAAATAAAGATAGCTTCCAACAAAGAAGTTTTGATAATTGGAACATTGCTTATTCCCAAAATTGTTGCTCAGCAGACAGATAAATAGGGAGAGGAAGGAAAGACAAATAGAATTATCTATTTATACTGTCTACACGGCTTAAAGTTTACATTTGTTAGCTTATATTATTCTTAAAACAGTTCTCTAGTGAAGCTCCCTTTGCAAATAAAGAAACGAAAGCATAAATAGATGTAATAGCATACTGAAGATCAAAACAGATTTAATTCAATATCTTTCTTACCACCAAGTCATGCTTGGGAAATAATGCAGTAAGAAAATGGTGAGTCTGTATTGGACAACATATTATATGACAGGTTAACATTACTTGTTTTCCACCTGCAACTCTAAATAGTTTATTTAGTTCTCAGTCTCCCAAATGAATTTAGGGAAAACTCCTTTTATTGTTTCTTAGAGTACCTAGAAGTTTCTGAGCACAGCGCTGATAACTATGGTATTGACATGATTAGCCATGGAGAAAAATACACACCAGCCTGCTCTTAGGAAAAATATATTAAACAGAAGCAGTAATTCCGTCCTTTAAATATTTCTTTAGCCAACAAGCTTTTTTTTTCCTTTTCTTTATTATTAGTATTTTTTTTTTTTAGAAATAAATATGCAAATCTGCCTTGTGCAGGGGTAGGGAGGCGCTATTACCATGTTCGTGAAGGAATGAGGTAGAGTAGATGGCAGTTTATATCTTGAGAGAAGACGAAGGCTAAGTCTTATTTTTCATTTGTAGGCACAGCATCCAGCACGATGCCTAGGGTGGCAGAGAGTCGGTGATGAGCACACGCATGGTGCTCCATATGCATGAATACAGGCAATTTGCAAAGAAAAAACCAAGTTAACTCAGCCCTGAGTCCAAGATTTTGCAATCTAATACAAAGCTTGAAATGTAGACATGTTCTAGGACAAGGGCTTTAATTTGAAACCTTTAGCACTGAACATGAGGCCTGAGATGTAGGAGGTATTCAGTACATTCCGTTCCAGAATTGTGGAATATTTTTCATAAGAAAGGAACCTAGAATTCATTTTGATGCAAAGTCCTCAGACTCTGGGGGAAGAAAAAAATCATACCAGGTTCCTAGCAGACTTTGTTCTGGAACCCCTGGGGTTCTAGATGACACAAGCTCAGGAAAAGAATGAAAGATTTACATTGTTTGAAATCTTAGCAAGGTTTCTAGTGGGAAGGGGGATGTTTTGCATTAAGAAATGTGGGTAGGAAGACCATGATGAACAGGCTGTTGGTATCCAATAAAAATTAATTGCCCACTCCTCCCTCCTATATTTTTTCTTTCTCTACTGCTCATGACACTAATATATGTTATTTAATGCATCTCTTATGCCTAAAATAATGCTTGGCACTTAATAGGTATTTGATATATGTTGGCTGAATTGGAATAAACAGAATTGTTGTACTGGAATGCATGATATTTGGGATATTTTGACAACACTTTGTCCATTCTTCTTCTAGCTTGAAATTTGTAGTTTCTCTGCAAGGAAAATTAACGGTGCTATTTTCAAATGGACTCTCCCATTTGCAGGGACAAGGAAAACTTTAATTTTCAGCATTTTCCATGATACTTCAGGAATAACACAAAGTTCCTTGTACATTATTGGAAAGTCCAGTAATAGTTCTAAGTAAATACTTTTAATTCTAATCAAAACTTTCTTTCCTGAACATTTGCCCTCACATTATTCATTTATTCACCCAAGAAATTATTTGGAAGCCCCAAGGTCTCATTTTTCCTCCCTGCATTTATTTTATGGTATCAAAGGTTAAAGCTTGGATTGCAATCTTAGGAGGAAATTAATTCACTGATTAAGAAAAATGCACTTTAAGCAATACACATTTAAATAACTGGCAAGCACAGGGCAATGTATTTCTGCTTTTTCTGAAAGACCCTTTTTTTCTATTTAAAATTTTAAGCAGCTGCAATTCTTCCACCCTATAGCCTGGAGAAACATAGCATGAATTACGAATAAGGGAGCACCAATTTGCTCTGCAGTGACCACTTCCAGAACAAAAGGGTCAGAACTAAAACCAGGAAAACAACAGCATTTTTTATCAACCAGTTGCTTGAAGCACATTTAGACCTTGGCTCTACTTGAAAAAATTCTGCAATAGTCTATCACCCTTCAGCTGGAGGCACTTGGCCCCAAAGACTCCACTTTCAATAAAGAAATTTCATTTATACACTACCTGCATCCTCGACAAAAATTTTCTTCTTCATAGGAAGCCCACTCATTGAATGAAATATTCAGAAGATTTAATTTTCTCCTTACGTAGCTTTTGCCTGGTAACTTTACCAAAATCAGTGCTGAGAAAGGCGTTGGAATAAAAAGAGCCAAAGAATAGAGAAGGTATTAAGGAAAGCATTCCTGAAAGACTAACGTCTTGGCTTGTGTACTTCCCCCTGGAACAGCATGGAGGAGGGAATTTTCCCGTGCCCTGGGTGAGGTCCACCCCCTCCCAACATGCTCTTACCTAACATCAGGGAAGGTTTTTACAAAAATAACAGGCCATTGGTTTTCCAAAATAGAAGGAAAAGAAGGAAGACGCACACTAGGGAGAAGAGAAAGTCATTGAGAGTTACAATAGGGTTGAGGGAGGAGGGAAGAGAGTTCATTTACTATATATGAACATTTTGTTTTTCTTTCCTCACCTTTGGGTCCTGGTGCAATTGTGTGTGTGGCACAGACTTCAGTGGTAGGACGGCTATCCATGTCCAAACCCAGACTTTGAATTTGCAAAAGAAAGAGCACCAGAAGGATGGACTGGTTTCTTCGAAGTAGGGCTCCAAAGCCACTCATTGCTGTGGTTCTTCAAAAAAGGATTGCCCAGAAGTACCAAAGAAGTAACTTTGCTTTATTTTAAATAAAACTTCTGCTTTAGGGAAGAAAGTAAAGTATCTGGAGGACACATTCCAAAAAGGGCTCCAAAAACAAGCAGGGAGCATATCCTAGGTTGTTTATTTTCTCAGTATTCCGAATGGACTGTACACTGTCCAGACTGTTTATTTTCAAGTGACAACAGTTTACTGAAAATTATCTCTGAACTAAACACTTGAGAAGAAACAACCCAGAGAATGGAGAGGATAGAGATGACTTCTGCTCAGCACATGAGCTGACAATTTAATAACCCACATTGCATTTTTATGTTGGGTTCCAGAAAGATGGAGCCAGAGATTGCTTGAATTACCTGCATGTTATGGATACACTATGCAGGGCTTAGAGCTTTTTTGTAAGGAAATACTCATTAATTGTTTGTGGCAACTGAATGCTAATGCTCCCACTGCTCTTCATGACCTTATTTCCTTCTCTTGTTACAAAGAACTGTCTTGGGATTAAACTCCAAAGGAAAGAACACCAGCTTTTCTGCAAAGCAATTTGGCAATAAGTATCAAGAATATTAAAAATGTTTATAGCCTTGATCTAATAATTGTCTTTCTGGTACACTATTTTAAGAAATTATTCTGAAATGTGAACAAAGTTTTATCTCAGAAAATATGGCAAAAAGAGGAGGGGGCATCAACTGCCTAACAATACATTATGGTTGGCAAATCATAGTAAATACAAACATATGAGAGAGTATGACATGAAAACCTTATTAAAATGATGTTTGTAGCAAGTTTTTGATAAAATGGGGGGAGAAGCTTATGCTATTATTATGTTTCTTAAAAAGCAGTATAGATACAGAGAATAGAGATGCACGTGTAGACATATATACAGAGATAGAAATAGAGATTGTTCTGCCTTTCTCTATCTCTTATCTATTGTCTATCTGTCTATCTATCTATCATCTATCTATCATCTATCATCTCTCTCCATCCATCCATCCATCCATCCATCCATCCATCCATCCATCCACCTATCTATTCCATCAGTCCATGGCCTGTATGAATAGCCTAGGCTTAGTGAGATATTAAAAAGCTAGAATTAGAATCACTTATAGGGCACCTGGGTGGCTCAGTCAATTAAGCAACTGCCTTTGGCTCAGGTCATGATCCCAGGGTCCTGGGATCAAGTCCCACATCAGGCTCCCTGCTCAGTAGGGAGTCTGCTTCTCCCTCTACCCTTCCGCTTGCTCATGCTCTCTCTCTCTCTCAAATAAATAAATAAAATCTTTTAAAAAAATCACATATAATAGGGAGATGCCTTACCTTCTCTATTCTTGAGAAGCATGTTAACTGAGAGGCCAGAAGGGGTTTTAGACCTACTTTCCTTGAAATTGGAAAAGAAGGACCTTATATATCCTCATAAGGGCTAATGAAGAAATATTTCTATGAGATGTTATTACAAGTAATGGTCAATCTAAGAAATACAGGTGTATGAGTTTTCTAGGACTGCTGTAACAAAATGCCACAAACTGAGGGGCTTAAAAATAACAAAAATTTATTGTCTCACAGTTCTGGAGGCTGGAAGTCTAAGATCAAGGTGCAAATCCATGCTTGTTCTGAAGACACCAGGAAAAGATCAATTTAGGGCCCTCTCCTAACCTCTGGTATTTGCTTGGCTATGACAGCACAGCTCTAATCTTCACACAGCATTCTCTCTGTGTGTATCTGTATGTATCTCTCTATGTCAAAATGATTCCCTTTTTATAAGCATACCATTCATAATGGATTAGCCCACCCCCCACTAATGATCTCATTTTAACTTGAAAACCTCTTAACTCTAAATACACTTACATTATGAGGTACTGAGAGTTAGGACTTCAACACATGAACCTATTTTTTTGTCTGGGAAGACACAATTCAACCCATAACAGGCTTACAGTATGACGTAACTGGATCTTTTTAGTAGCAATACAAGGAAAGGGAGCAAAAGGAACTGGCATTAATTGAATAGTCATCATGTACAAAATAAGGTTGATCTCTTCAGTGTATCTTGGTTAAGCCTTAAAATAACCCTCGGAATGGATAGTAACTCCCCCATTTTGCAGACAAATTACTTGAGGCTCAGAAAAACTAAGCAATTTGTTTAACATCACTGTGAAGGTTAATTTTATGTGTTAACTTGACTGGATTATGGGGTGTCCAAATATTTGGCCAAACATTATTTCTGGTCATGCTTATGAGAGTGTTTCAGATGAGATTAACTTTTGAATCTGTAGACTGTGTAAAGCAGATTTTCCTCCTCAATCTAGGTGGGCCCCATCCAAATCATGGAGAGCCTTACAAGAACGGAAAGGTTGAGGAAAGAAGAAATCCCTCTCTGCTTCATTGGTGGAGCTGAGATTTTGGTCTTTTCCTATACTTAGACTGGGGAGCTTTTGGCATCATCTCCCGGATTCTTGGGTCTTTGGACTTGGTCTGAACTTAACACCATTTTTTCCCAGATTCTCGGGCCTTTTGGCTTGGACTGAAACTACGCCACCAGCTTTTTCGGGCTTCCAGCTCGCAGATGGCAGATTATGGGACTTCTCAGCCTCCATAATCATGTGAGCCAATTTCTTCTAACAAATCTTTCCCTCTCTTGATATAGATATTAATATATACAGATATTGATACAGATGTATCTTGATGGTCTGTTTCCCTGGAGAACCCTGATTAAAATTCACCAATTGAAAAAGGGACCAAAAAAAAAAAAACTCAAATATACATTTTTTTCCCAAAATTCCTGCTTTAAAATACTTGTATTCCATAAAAGTGAATAGGCTCAAGATTTGAAGATGCACTAATTTTTACACATTCCTAAAACCTCAAAATGGTTGCATTTGCCATATTAACAGTGATAGGAAAATAGTGGGAATCCATAGAATGGTGTGAGAAACTCAAATTCTCTATCTATTGTAACCAGATAAGTGACATAGAGCAAATCACTCAACGTCAATTGCAGTAAGGCATATAAAGTGAGTTTAGACTTGATATTTAATGTACTTTCTGAATTATAAGATTCTTTGAAAATAGGTGTTCTTTAAGTTGTTTAAATCATTCTAAGTTTATTTTGTTTCTTTCATTTCTTTGTCAAGCATCCCCTGGCACATAGTGAAATACATTCATTACATTTATATGTAGAAATTCATTGGTAAAAATTTGAAGCAAATACTAGTCCTTAGTATTTTTCCTTGGGATATGCTATGCCTGTTCTTTCCAACCTCTCTCTCTCTTTTCAGTTCAACAAAATATAGAGACTTCCAGGGAAGATAGCAGAGTAGGAGGACCTTAAACTCAGTCATCCCACACACAGAAACACCTAGAAAACACTGGCATCAGTGAAAATAACCCAGAAAATGACCCGAAGACTAGCAGAACAGACTCTCCAGCTAAGCGTAGAGAAGAGGCCAGATTGAAGAGGGTAGGAAGGGAGAAGATGCAGTCAGGAGCCAAACGGACCCTTGGTACTGTCCATGGAGGGAGGGACACCGCAGGTGTGGAGAGAGGAGAGGACCAGACCCCACACCAGGCACCCCAGGCATGGGGAACCCACATGAAAACCAGAGGTACATAATTTCATGAGTTCTTACTATAAGCAGGGTTTAACACCTGGAAGTTTAAAATATCAGCAATGTAGGCTCTGGGAGGGCCAGGAGGATAAGAGGAAACTGAGTTCTCCACCCTTAGGGAGACAGCACAACAAACAGCCTCACAGAGAAATACAGCATAGAAGCAGCAGTTTGAAAAATGCCTGGGCTATACAGGAGGGAGATTTGTTTCCTAAGCTTAGAGTATGTGCTGCAGGGGCGGAGATCCTTGGGAGAATTCTCCAAGAACAAAGGAGCTGGTAGGCCCCATTTCCCTCCCCTTACCCCTAGCCTAGATACAGACACCTGCAGGAAGCAGCAGTGCACCAACACTCCTTACTTAACTTGCTAACAGACCCCACTGCACCCCCTTGTTCTCCTGCAGACACACCCCCTCCAACCAGGCCTCTGCTCCAGGACCCCTCCCACAGCAAACTTGTGCAAATCTTGCTAACACTATACACCCTGCCCCCTCCAAAATACCCTTGGCTGGAGCCAATCCGAAGTGGTGCCACAGGCCTGGCAGGGTACAAGCAGCCCTGACAGGGGCCAGTACCACTCCAAAGTGACTCCTACCCCAGTCCCACACCAGTCTGACTGCAGCCCCAGCAATGGAGTGGGGACAGACACCTGGTTGACTGCAGGCCCTGCCCACAATGAATGTTTCTCAGGGGACAACACAGGGAAAGTGCTTAGCAGTTTGGTGCTACCACATCTCTGGCAAATGTCTGGTCTGACTCAACTCAAGCCCAAGGTGGCCCCAGACTGTCCTGCTTACAACACAGGGACCAAATCCTGCCCACAACAGGCAAAGAGAGCCATTGCAGATGACAGGATTGAAGGCAAACATGGCATAGCCATGATACTAGGGCACATGCAACACACATAGGACACACCCCTAAAGTGCCAGGTTCTGATGAACAGGGCACATTACACTGCAGGGCACCATAGGAGCTCATCTTCATAAGGCCACTGCTTTCAAAAGCAGGAGAGGTAGCTGACTTTCTTAACACATAGAAATAGACACAGAGAGTTAAACAAAGTAAAGAGACAGGAATATGTCCCAAATGAAGAACAGGACAAAATCACAGCAAGAGACCTAAATGAAATGGAGATAAGTAATATGCCTGATAGAGAACTTAAGGTAATGGTCATATGACGCTCAATGGACTTGAGAAAAGTATGGAGGACCTCAGTAAGACCCATAACAAACAGACAGAAAACATGAAAAAGAACCAATCAGAAATGAAGAACACAATAACTGAAATTAAAAAGACACTAGATGGAATAAATAGCAGACTAGAGGAAGATGAAGAGCAGATCAGCAACTGGGAGGACAGAGTAATGGAAAGCAGCGTTTAGTAGAATTCACTTGTGAAGTCATATAGTTCTGGAATTTGATGGGAGTTTTTTGAAAACTGGTTTGAT